ATTGATATTATCACGTTTTACTTGTTTCGACAGATTTTAGGTACAGTGTTAACGAGCTACAATAACAAACGTTATTAAAGACTTTGACAGCTTGATGCAGTGTATGGTCTCCTCTCGTACCTCCCATTAGTAACTTAGAAGAGACAAAGGTGGAAAGTATATTACATAAATGACGAAAAACAGTCTCCAACAGGTATTTGGCGAGTATCATCGCAAAGCCAGCAACAATTACAAAGACGTGACTTCTCGGTATCTCTCGAGAAGTTCCTCGTAACGAGATCCGTCGGATATTAGGGAAAATAGATAGAAGAAACACCAAGTGTGGACACGAGAGCGTAAAAATAATTCGCCGATTGCACGAGAGAGTCCATGCAGAATTAGAAAGACTCGTCCCGAGTCAAGAGAGAGAAAGAGAAAAAGAGAGCGAAAGATAGGTAGCGATGATACAGATACACTGATTCAGAATTCTCTTACCGCGACCGATACTTCCAAGGCCTTTCTGATATCCCTTGGTCGTCGTGGAAAGGGACATCACGTTGACCGTGTTCTTATACTTGAACGGACTAGCAGTGACCTTCGCAACGGTACTACTTGTGTAGTGCGAGTTAAAGAGATTCACGCTTCTCTTAGTGGTGGTGTTGACGTTGCCACCCCTATTACAACTACCATTATTACCGCTACTACTATCGTTATATCTGGTCTTGTATCGATTGATACAGTGATTATTGACGATCATCTGTGTGTATTTCGGCACCGTAGGCGTAGTCACGACGAACGGTGCTATGACGCGTTTATAAGGATTAGTTGTTATCGTCTTGGTCGTTGTCATTGTCGTCGTCGTCGTCGTTGTTGACGTCGTTGTTGTCGCTGTCAATGCGTTCGTATACGGCGAGGAATGTTTTAATTTCGATAGTGGCGTGCTCTGTGTTGTTGATTTCCATGGATACCTGTGTGGCATATTATTATGGCATTACTACACAATGTGTCTTACTACATGTATCCACTCGCGTGAGTGTCTACTTGTCCATAGATGCGGATCAAGATGAACAATGTAACAACTTTTTATCGTACTATAAGTAGTCCAAACAGTATTCTCTAAATTTCTTGGAGTGAAATTTTACTTGAATAGAGTGAACACCGAACTACTCGAATTTGAGCGCGTGAGCACGAATTCAAGCCTACGTACAACCATTTGTCAAAAATTGTTACTTAATAATAACTCAAAATTTTATATGGTTATTTGCAAAATGGTAAAGAATTTTTTTATTTAGAATAATCTAATATACATTTACAACACGGCTCCGTAGAGAATTATCAGACATCTTGTGTAGAATGAATTCTCCACTCTAAATCGTCGAGAGAATATTTTCATTCAAAATTAAAAAAATTAGTATTCCACTATCGTAAGAATATATTCACTCTAATCGATTGAAACATTCGTTCATATGGGGTCAAAATCCAATCTAAATTTGAGTGAAACATTCACTCTTGCGATTTCGATTCCACACCAAGAAATTTAGAAAGTACAAAACGTCTGAATCATCTTAAATATGTTCAGAATGTTTTGGGGAATTAAAATGTCCAGGGTACATCCAGCATTTGTGCGACGTTTTGTGCTATCTAGGATAATATGGTACGTATGAGACGATTCGATCCTATTATGCATAGAATAAGATAAAAAGAATCACTTGAGTTGTCGGATCGTTACCTGTAGTCAGTGCTGTTATATTGAGCGAATATCGGCCGATTATGCAACGTAGGACTGAAAATGCTATCTCGGCGTATATACGTCGGAATGTTCTGTGTATAGTCCGGTATTATATTTTCGTGCTCTGCCACGCATTTTCCATTCAGGCAATACTGAAATTAATATCATATAATGATCACGATTAAATCTAAAGAGAACATCAAATATCAAACATTTATATAAAACTTAAACATAGGTAAATTTCATTTAAGGTATTTTAATTTGCTTGTAACTTCCGCAAAATGATCAAAATTTAATATTTTTTTTCAATCAATATAAAAAGCATCGACGAATATGAATCTATTAATGTTTTTGTGATTCAATTGAAAAAAAATTGATAATGGAAAAACACATATTTTAAAAAATAGTAACATTTAAAACATTGGTATAGATAAATTTTACTTATGTTTAAAGTTTTAAGATTTTTGTGAAAAATCATGCCAATGTCATACTAATTTCATTACTTTCAGTGATACTAAACGTATCATTAAAATTTTTTACCTTTGAATGCTCGATAAAATAGGCTAGCTATTCAGCAATTTTTTTTTTTAATTGGATTAAACTGAATAAAAAAATTCTGAACCATTTTGCAAAAAATCACGTAGATTTTTTGGATTATTAATTAAAGAAGATAGCACGAAAACTGTCACACGTGATTATTGATTAATCTTCTTTAACCAGTTTTTGTTGAGTTTCTAGTTATTTTTTAGATGTTTTTGCTTAATTTTGAGATTTTTGAAAAATTAGTTAATAGGAAGATTTTTGGGAGATAAAAAATTTTAGATTTTTCTAAAGTTATAAGATGATTTGGTGTGGTTCAAAATTAATCTCCCACAAAAGACCGGCCAGAAGTAACATTTCATACTCTACTACTTCAGCTTTCGAAGAATTTTACACACTAATTTTGAAAGTATAGTTTGGACAGAAACAGGTTTAAAATTTTAAGTATGATATTTCTGAGGAAACTTTCGTGAAAAACCATTATATATATATATATATATATATATATATATATATATATATATATATATATATATAATGGTTTTTCACGAAAGTTTCCTCAGAAATATCATACTTAAAATTTTAAACCTGTTTCTGTCCAAACTATACTTTCAAAATTAGTGTGTAAAATTCTTCGAAAGCTGAAGTAGTAGAGTATGAAATGTTACTTCTGGCCGGTCTTTTGTGGGAGATTAATTTTGAACCACACCAAATCATCTTATAACTTTAGAAAAATCTAAAATTTTTTATCTCCCAAAAATCTTCCTATTAACTAATTTTTCAAAAATCTCAAAATTAAGCAAAAACATCTAAAAAATAACTAGAAACTCAACAAAAACTGGTTAAAGAAGATTAATCAATAATCACGTGTGACAGTTTTCGTGCTATCTTCTTTAATTAATAATCCAAAAAATCTACGTGATTTTTTGCAAAATGGTTCAGAATTTTTTTATTCAGTTTAATCCAATTAAAAAAAAAAATTGCTGAATAGCTAGCCTATTTTATCGAGCATTCAAAGGTAAAAAATTTTAATGATACGTTTAGTATCACTGAAAGTAATGAAATTAGTATGACATTGGCATGATTTTTCACAAAAATCTTAAAACTTTAAACATAAGTAAAATTTATCTATACCAATGTTTTAAATGTTACTATTTTTTAAAATATGTGTTTTTCCATTATCAATTTTTTTTCAATTGAATCACAAAAACATTAATAGATTCATATTCGTCGATGCTTTTTATATTGATTGAAAAAAAATATTAAATTTTGATCATTTTGCGGAAGTTACAAGCAAATTAAAATACCTTAAATGAAATTTACCTATGTTTAAGTTTTATATAAATGTTTGATATTTGATGTTCTCTTTAGATTTAATCGTGATCATTATATGATATTAATTTCAGTATTGCCTGAATGGAAAATGCGTGGCAGAGCACGAAAATATAATACCGGACTATACACAGAACATTCCGACGTATATACGCCGAGATAGCATTTTCAGTCCTACGTTGCATAATCGGCCGATATTCGCTCAATATAACAGCACTGACTACAGGTAACGATCCGACAACTCAAGTGATTCTTTTTATCTTATTCTATGCATAATAGGATCGAATCGTCTCATACGTACCATATTATCCTAGATAGCACAAAACGTCGCACAAATGCTGGATGTACCCTGGACATTTTAATTCCCCAAAACATTCTGAACATATTTAAGATGATTCAGACGTTTTGTACTTTCTAAATTTCTTGGTGTGGAATCGAAATCGCAAGAGTGAATGTTTCACTCAAATTTAGATTGGATTTTGACCCCATATGAACGAATGTTTCAATCGATTAGAGTGAATATATTCTTACGATAGTGGAATACTAATTTTTTTAATTTTGAATGAAAATATTCTCTCGACGATTTAGAGTGGAGAATTCATTCTACACAAGATGTCTGATAATTCTCTACGGAGCCGTGTTGTAAATGTATATTAGATTATTCTAAATAAAAAAATTCTTTACCATTTTGCAAATAACCATATAAAATTTTGAGTTATTATTAAGTAACAATTTTTGACAAATGGTTGTACGTAGGCTTGAATTCGTGCTCACGCGCTCAAATTCGAGTAGTTCGGTGTTCACTCTATTCAAGTAAAATTTCACTCCAAGAAATTTAGAGAATACTGTTTGGACTACTTATAGTACGATAAAAAGTTGTTACATTGTTCATCTTGATCCGCATCTATGGACAAGTAGACACTCACGCGAGTGGATACATGTAGTAAGACACATTGTGTAGTAATGCCATAATAATATGCCACACAGGTATCCATGGAAATCAACAACACAGAGCACGCCACTATCGAAATTAAAACATTCCTCGCCGTATACGAACGCATTGACAGCGACAACAACGACGTCAACAACGACGACGACGACGACAATGACAACGACCAAGACGATAACAACTAATCCTTATAAACGCGTCATAGCACCGTTCGTCGTGACTACGCCTACGGTGCCGAAATACACACAGATGATCGTCAATAATCACTGTATCAATCGATACAAGACCAGATATAACGATAGTAGTAGCGGTAATAATGGTAGTTGTAATAGGGGTGGCAACGTCAACACCACCACTAAGAGAAGCGTGAATCTCTTTAACTCGCACTACACAAGTAGTACCGTTGCGAAGGTCACTGCTAGTCCGTTCAAGTATAAGAACACGGTCAACGTGATGTCCCTTTCCACGACGACCAAGGGATATCAGAAAGGCCTTGGAAGTATCGGTCGCGGTAAGAGAATTCTGAATCAGTGTATCTGTATCATCGCTACCTATCTTTCGCTCTCTTTTTCTCTTTCTCTCTCTTGACTCGGGACGAGTCTTTCTAATTCTGCATGGACTCTCTCGTGCAATCGGCGAATTATTTTTACGCTCTCGTGTCCACACTTGGTGTTTCTTCTATCTATTTTCCCTAATATCCGACGGATCTCGTTACGAGGAACTTCTCGAGAGATACCGAGAAGTCACGTCTTTGTAATTGTTGCTGGCTTTGCGATGATACTCGCCAAATACCTGTTGGAGACTGTTTTTCGTCATTTATGTAATATACTTTCCACCTTTGTCTCTTCTAAGTTACTAATGGGAGGTACGAGAGGAGACCATACACTGCATCAAGCTGTCAAAGTCTTTAATAACGTTTGTTATTGTAGCTCGTTAACACTGTACCTAAAATCTGTCGAAACAAGTAAAACGTGATAATATCAATTCAATTAACACGGAAATATATGAAGAAAGTTTATTATCATTCAAAGTTGACCATCATTCTTAATTTAACAGTTTATTTCTTTTGTATATATTTTGTATATCTTTTAGTAGTATCCTACTTCTATCAGATGAAACCTCAATGGCGGATATTGAATATTCGAAGTTGAAAAACCGTAATTATTATTTTCCATAGTGTTTATTATTATAGTCTATGACGTTTTTTCTACGAGAAAATCAACCATGAGCTAACTGAAGATTCCGCCATGAATAGTTGATTCGACAGAAGTGGGACATCCGCGTTATCTCTTCCCGTTGTTTCCTCAAGAAAGATGCATATAAGCATTACATACGTGTGGAACTATACCGCCATTCTTCACATTGCTCTACATCGAATTCACTACAAGGACAGTGAGACATAAATATACGTAATATCTCTGTGGATAATAGACGCAACAACGGCGAGCCTGGGTTATTACGCAACATTTAAGAGTGTATTGCCCATATCACAAAAATAATAAAAAAATATTGAAAAAAATTAGTGATTAATCTATATTGTATCTGAAAGTGATTACAAACAATTTCACATTGATTTAGTCTGGATCAAATGTTATTTCACTTTGTGTAAGTCCAGCAAACATGATAACGTCAAATAATATTTTAATGGTGTATTAGTAACGTTTCTAACGTTAATAATACATCATTAACGACTTTGTATAATTTGTAGGCATGAATTAAAAAAGTTTCTTCAGAATTTTTTACAAAAAAATTATAAGACACATTTACTTTTCAACATATCTTTATCATATTTTGAAGAAATTACACGATTCTTTTCATAATTGGATCTCGTCAATTAGTTGACTTATAAGATGCGATGCAACACGTCTTGCTGGCATATATGATGTAGCCGCTTAACCCTAATCTACAATGTACGCTTTGTTTCCTGTTTCTTGTTCTCTGTTTTTTTTTCTAGCTTAAAGCCTAATCTACAATGTGCTCTTTGCGTTTTGTTTCTTGTTTTCTGTCTTTTCTGGCGTACAGCTTAAGGTTTGAGTCAAAAAGAGATAAAGAGAAAGAAGCAAGAAACAAAGAACATATTGTAGATCAAACTTTAGGTTTGAATAAAAAAGAAATAAAGGAAAAGAAACAAAAAGCAAAGAACATATTGGCCAGTATTCATAGTCAGATTTTATATTTAAGATTATCTTAAATTCATCTTTGGATTATCTTATTGGCGAAGTATCTGAAAATGAACTTAAGACGCTCTTAAATATAAGATCCTACTATGAATACCATTGTAAATTAAGTTTTATAAGTTGCATTCCGAAATTCACTGACAATACTGGCAGTATTGCGAAAGCCGTTTCGAAATGCATGACAGTAAGTTTTCAAAGCACTTTTGTATTCATATGACGTTATAGATTTTATCGTCATTTTCTACTTTTGTTACTGCGGCTCGCGAGGTGAGGCATTCGCAGTAGAAACATGTCGGCATCCATCAAATAATTGTGTTTTATAGACGTAGAAGATAATAGAGCATGAAATAAGTACTTGATAACACGTACAATACTATGATAACTGTAGTTTTTTTCCATATATTGTTAATTCTATATCATTATTAATAATATCGGAATTCAATAAAACTTTTATTATGTACGATACTACGTGATATTATCAACTATTACAGCACTCACAGCCTTATTACTTTTTTTTCTATTCACAGTAGATCGACAGTACACTTAAGAAAACGGAACACTTGTTTCAACGTATTGCGATGACGTCACGTTTATAGTTCTGATAGTGAATATCGAAACACAAAAACATAATTATCTAAAACAAAGAAGCAAACCAATTCTTATTTTATATGAATGTCGCTATCATCTGAATAATTATTATTAACCACTACTATTAAACCAAACCAACTAAATCAAAATTTAGTAAAATGGCGAGATCGAAAAATAAATTACGGGGACACAATTTTTTCGATCCCGCCATTTTACCAAATTTTGGTTTTGCTCAATAATCAGTTCAGACGATAGCGGCAATTTCATATAAAATAAGAATCTGATTTGCTTCTTTGTTTCAAATAATTATAAGCGACTATATCATGCACGTCAGCAGGATAAGAACGTGTTGCGCCGCGTCTTATAAATCAACCAATATACGAGATTCAGTTTTGAAAATAATTGCATAATTTGCTCGAAGCATGACAAAAACATACTGAAAATTTCAAAAATGTGTATATTATAATTTCCTTGTAAAAGAATTGTAAAGAAACTCCTTTAATTCATGCCTACAAATTACTCCTTTAATAAATCTTAAAATATTTCAAACCGCGTCGCTATAGGAATAAATTATGTTGCTATCTTTAGTGAAGGAAAGGTAATTGGAATATATATAATGACAGAAATCTCAATTTTTATATACATATACTTTAAGTATTCAAATTGATATATGCAAAGATTATAATTCAGAGGTAAGAGTTTAAAAGTCAGAAATAATATAAAATAAAGTAAATATATAAGTAAAAATGTGATGTTAAAGTAAAAATATGTTATTATTCAACTTATCGTATATATATACCACACATTATTATGCGAAAAATAGAGATATTAAGTATTTTTCTCTAATTTTCAATTACTTTTTGTAGGGACTATACGGGCAATACATCCTTAATCCTATTCTAGGCTAATTTATGACTAATCGAAACAAGTCGATTAACGCTTGTCCTTAAATCTTCAAACATCTAAAATTACACAAAGAAAAAACACGACTTAAATTACGTGAAAGTTGAAATTTTTATCCAATAATTCGATTGGCAAGTTCATATATCTTATGTTTTCAAGTATATTTTAAGCGTTTGATAACTCACAAGAACTCCAAAGTGGAATTCTATTTGCAATTTTATAAGGTGGAATAATAACTAGTAAATAGCTAGTTAATTAGTTAAAAATTCAGTTAAAAAGTTAATAATTTTTAATTTAACTCAGTTAATTTTAAATGAGTTTTAACTTCTTACTAGTTATTTTTAGCCATTAGCCTATAAATTATCATGTTTAAAACAGTAATAGGTTAGTAATGCATTTATGATTCTGCACCGATTTGTGATATACGAATAATAATTACTTATTATATTTTATTAATAAATTTATATATTTCTTCATTTCCACAATAAAGTCATTGAATTGGTCATTAAATAAAACATTCATCTTATGTCACAAATTAGGACAAAGCTGAACTATTACGTCACTAAATAATATATTAATCACTTTTAAGAAAATATTACAAATAAAGTAGAAGCTTCCCATAAATTAGAAAAATATAATATAATTAAAACCCCCAAATATTCAAACTTTCCAACAAAATTAATTTTGTTTAGTTAGTTTAATATGTACATTATTAATTAATTTATTTATTTTCATGATGAAGTTATTTATTCACTAATTAGAACATTTATTTTAATATGTAAAACATTTAAAGATTTATAGATGTCTGCGATATATTTTCTACCAAATAGAATTCCACTTCGCACTTTGAGGGTACGGCCCGTTCAACGCTTAGTATATTTCAAATGCTTTTGCTCCAAATGGTTCTGTACAAAAGCGTTACCAATGTTACCACTGTTGACCAAATAAATAGACAATAAGTAAACCAAATTTTTACATCTAGAAGCATTGAAAAGAATTTAAGACAAAACTTAATATTTAGCTTAATATCTTAATGAATTACATAAATGTCAATATTGGAATATTAATCTATATTGCAAAAACTTTTTTAACACAGGCTTATCTTTACAATAACGAAAAAGAAGCAATTGCAATTGATGCTGTTTGTAATGCTAAAAGTATATGTGTATATCAAATTTTGATAGCAAAATTAAATAATAGCATTATAATAACTGAGATATTTACCAAATTTTAATAGCAATAATCTAAGTATTTAATAATAATCACTGTATTATTACCTGATTAAGATGTTGTTGATTCTAATCATTAATTCAGTTTTCATTCATATAGCTGTTTAAAAAATAAATCAATTCAAATATTATTAAAATATTAAAATTCTCTTTTTATTTCCAAAATTGCAAAACAGATAACAGTAAATATAAGTTAGGTTGGGTTAGATTATAAATCCGACAATATTTATAAATACTCTTAGTATTTTATACAAAGTCTTATCTTCGTTAGTTACTCTAATATCTTGCCAATAATGTGTCTTTGAGAATTATATATAGCATATCTCAGCACTTTTTATATTCCAATATTTCCTCTTGGACTTCGGTTTTCTATCTGAATTTCCATTATCGCGCAAAATTTTCTCGCGCAAATCTAAATGCTGCAGTTACACATCTTTCTCGTACAAGCGTTAGAAGCGAGCTGGGAGCGATAAAATATAACGTATTCATGAAGTCATACGTATCAATAGAATGCTCCAAAGTGTCAAATAGACTATTTGAAACGTTTCGAAGCACTTGCAACGATTAACGATAAACGGACCGTACCCTGAATTACAGACAGTCTAAAGTGACCTTCAAAATCGCTTTACTCTAAACGACCGTTTGCTTTCAGGAACAGAGGTCGGTGAATGCACGGACGTGGGGTCAGATTGCGCAGAGCTGATTGACAGGCTGAGAACATGGCTGTGCCATCTACAATCTGTGAAGAGTCGCTGCTGCGCATTCCTGAAGACGATCTGTGTTGATTAATAATATTAAAAAATAAAAAAGGCGAAAAATCGGCTCGATGATTAGCTCGATGACATCGCGCTTACTAAACGCCTGTCGTGACGCCGTCCTGGCGAACAGAATGAAACGGAAGGAACTCGAAGCCGAATCGACGATCGTCTATTCTCTTTATCTTTTATGCAGGCTCTTCGTCAAAATCCTCGATGCTCTTGCGGTTTTTACGATCGGGATAAGCGCGACCACATTCGACTCTTCGAGTAGCTATACGTATATTTCACTTTCTCTGCTATTTTTTCTTTTCTCCCCTCTCTCTTCCCCTCTTCTTCCCTCCCTTCCTCTCTTTCCCTCTCTCTTTCTCAATATCTCTTCCTCTTTCTATTCATACCCGCGCAATCCGGGTATCATTCGTTTACATTGTAGATACAGTATCGCCGGAACTTTGCCACGGGTGTGCCGGATGTAGTGAATCTAAAAGCAGAGCGACCTGACTGTCCATCGATACAATATTCGACCGTGAATATAATTTATTCGATAGAAAGCAGATTTCGCTAAAGATTCGCTTTACCCGATGCATGAGTGTTTGACGAGCGCGCGTACGCACTCGCACGAAAGAAGCCATTCGAAAATCATGGAAATTGTTTAACGCAAGACAATAAATGGGAATACTTAAAAGCAGATGTGTTATGTATACCCACCCACTTACTGTTCATTTTTATGTAAAGAGTCAACTATCGATTTTTAAGTGGAATGACTTATTTTTTACCCCGGAAATCAATAGAGCATAGAATTTTACGTTCAAAACATGTGGTCATATGTAGAAGTCATATGAACCCTTGAGGATCGTATCACAAAGTTTTATATATATATATATATATATATATATATATATATATATATATATATATATATATATATAAGTACTCTGTTGCAAATCCGGGCATAGACTGGCGAAACCTCAAGTTTTAGTTTGGTTGACAAGTTTTAGGTCAAAGGGCTTGAGAGAAACGAATCGATTGAGAGGAAGAAATCCAAGTTTTTATGGAATTAGATTTACTATAGAAAATGATACTAGTATTCTTAGTAATTTTGCAGAAGAATTGCATACAAATAACAAGTCCGAAATTATTATCGATAACAGAGTTATTGCATTCTTGACTCTTTTTTCTCTGTATTCACTACTATGGTTATTTGCTGTAAATACTACAATGATATAAAGTTAAACGAAAGAAGTACCTATAGAATAGGATTTAAAATAGCTGGCGATCTTTAAATAGCTGTAATACAGAAATTTGGTATCAAATATATAATATATATTCCAGTCCTATAATAAATCATGTGAAAGAAATTGTCGTATCATAATAATAATGAGACTTTTCAGCATTGGGACAAAGATATAAATTTATTTAATTAGCATATGTATATCAACTTTATATACAAGGTGTCTCAAATCACCATTTTCAAACTTCGCGACAGCATAGAACAAATTGAAATGAACATAAAAAAGTCCCATACCGTTTTGCAATATTCATAATAAATCTCGAGGTATTAATTAAAGAAGATTAGTGAATGATCACGCACGATATATGGTAGATGAGCTATAGTGGCGATGTGTATTGTGTTGTGTGCTTGTACATTAGGTAAGTTGAACAAAAACTCTTTATCATTTTACAAACACGTAGATTTTCCATTATTCATAAAAAAAATTGTTACATGATTGTGTGCGATACACAAATTCTCTTTACGAATACTAATTTCGAATACACAAATTCTCTTTAACCCTTTAAATATCACTGTTACTAATAGGGACTACTTAGGATCGGACAGTTGAAACCTTATAAATGTGTTATTTAGAGTGTTTTTGACAATATTCAATTTAAAAAAAGTTACTAGAATGTTCCATAAATTATACACCTTAAAGAATTAATTAATATCTAAAAATCGATTTATTCGCAAAATGGTAGAACACTTTTTTGTTCAGTTTGACCTAATGTATAAGTATACAATGGTATATGACGCCACTACAGCTCATCCACCATATCACGTGTAATCATTCATCAATTTTTTTAATTAATATCTCAAGATTTAATACAAATATCGCAAAACAGTATAGGATTTTTATGTTCACCTCAATCTATTCTATGCTCTCGCAAAATTTGAGATTTGAGATACTCTGTGCATATACATATAACAATAGTTTTTAAGAAATAGATGATTTTACTGATTAAGTGCGCTTCGAGAACTTAGCGCA